GATTTTCATTCTAAAATGTGGAGGTGGGTCTGTCCTTTACGCGCGCCACGCTCCTTAGCCGTTCGCGACCGGCGACAGTATTCCACAGTAACGCGGCGGGGAAATCGCTCCATACACACGGATGTTCAGCTCAGGGAAGAGAGGGGCACATTTCCATTCTGATTCGCCAGCTCCTTTAGCAGTCTCAGTAAATGTACCAGTACCGTAGCTTTGGTGAGAATTTTTCCGATTTTCCACGCTTTTTCTTCTTCAATTGAACTACCTTCCACAATCGACTGATCATCTTACCAAGTTTCCCTAAAAATGCCGTCAAGCAGGAAGGGGTAGCTACCTCCGATCATCTATCGGAAATAGTACTTTTGAAGCGGCGCCGAATAGCGAATATGAAATACCCAGGAAGAAGACTTCCCTAGGTCAAACATTACCCCTTCCCAACGAGCGACCAAGTAAGATTCTCAGCAGCAGGGCCCCAACGCCTGAAGTGCCCTGTACCGTACACGCGGACCTTAACAAGACCTGCAGAGCCTTTTCAAGTGTGTACGAAGCTCTTGCTGTACCTAGCTTTACACGATTTTACAGGTTTTTACACGCAATAATTGCTGGAGTCAGTGGAAGGCACCCACCAAGACGAACTGCTCCCACAGAGCATAGTGTAAAAAATTTATTAATGATTAATACAGTGTGAAAATATTCAGTAAATCAGCAGGTTTGTGCTATGGAGCGCACTTTGTCGTAGACGTCGAGGAACGCCTCTTTACAGTTATACTTCACTCGAAGCCATTCATAGAGCGATGAGTCGAACATCTGCCAGAATTCCGAGCGGCTCATATCCGTACCGCCGTGTACCACTGATACTCTAAAAACAGGCGGAATTGAGGGTTCTAACTGTGAATTTACAGATTTACCGGCAGCTCACCCATTCGAGTCTCTCACGAAGTGCTCTACGCGCCGGAGGCTGGCTTTCGGATTAACGTCCGGTCGTCCTGCGATTCCTGAATTTTAGAACTTGAGTAACCCCTGAGGGAGTCAAGTTA